TACCGCTCACAGCGTGATGTTTTCGTCGCGCTGTGATGACGTCAGGTACGCGCTTTCGTCGAGCGCGCTTTAGTCTACCGTGGTTTTGTGGTGGAACCATTGTGAGGAGCATATAGATATGTCCTGAGAGCTGTTTGAATTTCATTTATCAAGCAGGGAGTGCTATTAAATTGCATAGAATGACAAATGGAAGAAACATTAAGGCCCTCCTGAACACTAACATTCTTTTAGTCAAAAGGCAAATTTGAAATCAGAAAGCCTTTCAAAGTATTCATGTATAATGCCTAAAAAGAACAAAGCAGAATACTGCAACTCGGTTTGCTGAAAGTTAAAACAAAAGTGAATTAGTTGTAAAGACCTGGACAAATTTATTTGCAATTATCCAAGAGTACAGATAGTCCTTATTTAGCAACTGCCCCCTTTAGTGACCAAAGTTACAATGCAATTTTTTAAAGGTGAAAAAGTAACTGTGTGGACCAGTCCTTGTATTCACAACCTTCAGAAGTCTGCAAAGCAAAACAGATCATAAGCACAGTCCTGGCTACACTTAATGACCAAGTTATGGGTTGCAGTTATTAGTGGGTAGGTAGTAGGTAGGTAGTAATTAGGACTACCTACCCAAGAACTGTGGTGGTGCAGTGGGTAGAATGCAGTACTGCAGGCTACTTCTGCTGCCTGCCAGCCGCTAGCAGTTTGGCAGTTCGAATCTCACCAGGCTCAAGATTGACCCATCCTTCCAAGGTGGGTAAAATGAGGACCCAGATTATTAGGGGCAATAAGATGACTCTGTAAACCGCTTAGAGAGGGCTGTGAAACTGTACATCAGTCTAGGTGCTACTGCTACCTGGACTATAGAATTACAGGATCCAGGAATAAAGCTGATAAATACCATAAGGGACAATCATTTGCACCCATCCTGCACACCAACCTTAATTCAAGAAGCAGCGTTGTATGCCAAGGCACTTCTCTTGTTCAAATCCATCTCCGCCATGATGTTTAAGCACTCAGATCAGCCAGTCCAAAGCAGCCGGAAGAACAAGGCCAAGTTTACATAGCGAGGGGTGAAGGCGTGAAATGAAACTTAAGCAAGTAATTGGATGAATTTGCAGGCTTTTTAGCTCAAGCAACCATTTCAGTATTCTTGACATATTGTCTTATTAGCCAGAGAAGGCCAGATAACTCTCGGCCAGAGAAGGTGTGGGTGTTCGATCAATTTGGGCGAGTTGTTCTACGTAAGGCGGCAAGCCCCGTTCCCTGGGATACAGGGCAACAAGCACGGGTGGTATGTTGTTGGAGAATCGGTGACCACTTTCATTTTGCAAGGGGTAACTGGAGGAAATGGGTGATGAATAGATGGCGTAATGTTTTGGTACAGAAGGAACCCAATGTCTACATTGCCCTGCAAAGTCTAAATCCTTTGCATTGAGGGAGTAAACCGTGCAGCTCTCAGGCATCGGTTGGTGCTCAGAGAAGTCAATTGCCTCTCGCCCAGGAGCTTTGGAAAGCACAGCCCAGCTACCTAGCAAAGGCTGTATCCTACTTGCTTCTATTTGAGATGAGCACCACAAAGGGTGAGAATGGACACATGGTTCAAGACTGACAGTGTTTGGGTTTTCTTGGCAGCAGACTGGAGAGCATTTGTTAATGTGATGTGGGTGTAAGTTCTCCTCATTGGTTGAAAAGGTCTGGTTCTCTAGGCAACATCGTCTGCATCTCTGATTGCAAGGACAAGGCAACCTTTGGTGAGAACTTACAGAGTGGACCATGTTCTTGCAGGGCAATCCTCTACTAAGGCCACGAGGAGATAAATCGTGGGACAAATGGGAAGAGGTATCTGAAAAGGGTGGTGTTAAAGGTGGCGTGCAGTGACAGCTCAAGTCCATTCTTTGGGGCTTCAGAGTAGTAAATCATCTGGCATTGATGCTTGACCTGTGTGGGACGGGGAGAAAATGGGAGTCATTCAGAAGGACTTTGGGTTTAGCTACTTTACTAAAGAAAAGAGTGTTTGTCCAGGGCTATGAAATTCTATCCAGGTTGGCATACCCAAATTTATTAGTGTTCA